CGGTTTGCAACACTCATCTCTACGTAGATGCATCGCTACAAGGATGGGGTGCCCACCTTGACAACGAAGTGGCAGCAGGGAAGTGGTCGAGTCAGGATCAGAGTCTGCACATCAACCTGTTGGAGATGAAAGCAGTGATCAACGCTTTACAACACTGGTCCAGCGTACCAAAGAACGCAAGGCTCATGGTCCACACGGACAACTCCACAGTAGCGTTCTACATCAACAAACAAGGATCAACAAGATCAACAAGTCTGCTACAACTCAGCTTTCTCCTGTTCAGCATAAATTCGGCTTGACCTAATTGAACAACTACATGAAGGCATGCCACATTCCAGGAGCAAAGAATGTCATAGCAGACGCCCTATCTCGTCCACTACAACCATCCCTGACGGAGTGGATGTTACAGCCAGAAGCGTTCCGGTTCGTTATACGGACAACAGGATCTCCACTGATAGACCTGATAGACAAAGTTCAACAAGCAACTACCAAAATTCGTCTCTCCGATTCCGGATCCTCAGGCATGGGCAACAGATGCTTGGGAAGGACTACCATATATGACCGTCTATAAGACGACCCCATGGATAAGACGACCCCCAAACTTGACCCTTAAAATCAGTGTCAAAATGGTATGTTTCGTGCATAAGTCGATCCCCCGCGATGGGGCCCTAATCGCGGCAAACACAGACCACTGGCAGTTACCAATAATTATAACTTTGGTCCACATTATTCAAAGATTTTTCACAGTCATATATATTGTGTCTACTCACGGATCGAAACGAAGTGTAGTTGACAGAAAATGCATAATATATTTTGCCTCTCTAAATATCATATTTATTGTAGCAACAAACTGGCTTGCTTATTTTACCCCATTCAACAATCACGAACTGATTTCCGCCTCGTTTTCCATTGACTGCTAGTTTACAGTAAAATCGGTAAAAATGTGTGAATTTAAATGGCTTCTGTATTTTACCCCATTCCATGTGCGTACAACTGCTTACCACGTTCATGAGGGTCCGTATAACTTTAGTGTTGATTATATATATTTTACATAAAAACTGTATTTAATATTACACAATGCTAGGATATATTTCTTTGGGTTAAATAATAGTATTCTGTATTATATTTTACTGACGACTGCCTCAAAATTCATCCCGTTATATTAATGTGCATGTTTGAACTTGTTCGCCGGGAAACGTGTGCACAACTGATTGCTATTTCCGACTCAAATACACACGGTAATCTTAATTAATTTATAGAGCAAAAACTGTAACTAAAATCACACAATGCTAGGATATATTTCTTTGGGTCAAATAATAGTATTCTGTATTATATTTTACTGATGACTGCCTCAAAATTCATCCCGTTATATTATTGTGCCTTTTTGAACTTGTTCACCGGGAAACGTGTGCACAGCTGATTGCTATTTCCGGCTCAGATACACACGGTAATCTTAATCCCTGCAAATAATACAATGCCCAGCAAAAACAACTTATAACTTAAAAGGTAAATAATCTTGTCTAGTGATGTTTAATTGCAAATTTGACGTCTCTACTGACAAAGTCGTCTTCTGTTGTTTGTTCACGCGAAGTGATACGATGTTGTTTTCTTACCCCTGGAAAAAAGTTTGATGAAAGCGTAACCCATGGATAAGACGACCCCTTCTACAGACTGCTTTTTTTGGTCCTCAAAATTCGGCTTATAGACGGTCATATATGGTAAACACTTATGCGTTTCCACCTCCAGCACTACTACCACAAGTAATACAGAAAATCAAGCAGATGACAACGCTGCAACTGATTTTGGTCGCGCCCTATTGGCCAGTGAGGGTATGGTTTCCCGTCCTCATACAAGAACTCGGAAGTCCAACCCTGAAACTACCAGAGTGGTCGAACCTGCTCGTCCATCCACTCACCAAGCAAGCTCACGGGAATCCGGCATTGTTCCAGCTACACAGGTGGAGCGTATCAAAGCTTGCCTGAAGACTAGAGGGTACTCTGCCAGAGCAGCGAAAGCAGTAACACTAGCTCTACGCAGATCAACTCGCACCTTGTACGACGACAAGTGGCAGAAATTTGAACAGTATGCAATGAGGAAAGGCTTTACAGCGGTGAAAGCAACCCATCCTCAAGTGGCGGAATACCTGTGTCATCTGCGACAGACGAGACACTTAAAAGGTTCAACACTCTCAACGTACCTGGCTGCTCTCAGCACAGTTATCACCATGAAGACGGGTGTCAAGTTGACCAAAGTACCAGAGATACTGGCACTACTACGCTCGTTCAAGTTGGAAGACCAATATAAGAAATTCAAGGCTCCTGCCTGGGATCTCAACACAGTTTTACAACATCTCACCAGTGATGCCTACGAGCCTCTAGAACGAACATCCTTTGAACTACTGACTCAGAAAATGCTGTTCCTGATCGCCCTAGCAACAGCAGCACGGATGTCAGAAATACATGCTCTGGACTTTGAACGAACACCGATTTGAATCAAGACATCGCGTGACATCATACATCTAGGACTGAGATGGGACTTTATTGCCAAGAACCAACTGCCCGGCCAGCCTGACAGACAGTTCCACATCCCAGCACTCTCTACAGTCCTTGGGCCACAGGATACACAGGATCTATCCTTATGCCCTGTCAGAGCACTAAGTCTACCTACAAAGGACAAAACAAGGAGCCGAAAATTCAAGAGCCTATTCATCCCCTTGTCCACTGAGACGGCTACCGAAGTCTCAATGGACAACCATATCGACATGGATGAGAGCCGTTATACTAAGGGCCTACAAAGCAGCAGGACTTGAGCCTCCACGAGCCTCCAATCCACACGAAGTCAGAGCCCTGGCATCTACACTTGCTCTGCATGGAAACTGCTCGATTACAACAATTATGGAGGGCTGTTTTTGGAAATCGGACACGGTGTTTGCCAACCACTTCCTCAGAGATATTGCCACCGAAGATGCCTCAGGCATTCACCAGTTTTGGGCCCCTTGTTGTAGCACAACAACTAATGCTTCCACAAAAGTAGGCTGAGAAAATCTCACCCTTTATCACGTGACTTGTGAAAACCAACGCTCTGGAGAGCAAATGGTTAAAAGTCCATGCACACGTCTAGGACAGAATAGCATGAGTGATAGACCCTGTACTTGTATAGGACATACTCGTACATGAAGAAGGGTCGCATCTCCACTTGATGTGCGCATCAAGAGATGGAGTTGCAATAGATAACTAATGGAACATTAGTATATCTAAAATCCACACGGAAATGTCAGGAGAAGTTTCGGAAGAAATCTGACAAGTTGTGGTTCCCCCCCCGACTCATCAGATGGAAGTTGGAAGAACAGAATCATCAGCAGTGCCGTCATAAGTTCCCATGGGGGGTAATACAGGACGCAAAACAGCAGCCAGTTAATCCAGGAAGTGGCCTGACCCACCACCAATTCCGACGGATTCTGCAAGCATTTAGCATGAGTCAGGATAAGGAAAAATATGTAATTTTCTGACTAAAATTGATATTTTATACTTATCCTGACTCGTGAGGTCAGCCCTCCCAACCTCCCCTCTCAGGGCACTCTGGATTTCCCTGTAAATCCGGGTGTCTGGCATACATATGGAGAGAGTGACAAAACATGGCCGGTCAGGTGACCAAAAGGGAGGCAAGGGAGGTAACTCTTGGGTGAGTGGTGATTTTACGTCCAATACTTGAAGGGAACTTCAAGGGATTTCAAGTGTTCCGCTATCATTCGCAAGGAAAAGAAGACAAGCATTTAGCATGAGTCAGGAAAGTATAAAATATCATTTTTAGTCAGAAAATTACATATTGAACGTCAATCCGATACAAAGGAAGAATATTTCCCATTAATTTGATGCTCTGCTACTTTATGATCCTGGGCTTGCTTCACGTGTGCGTGTTAGTGGAGCAAGTTTGTACCTAGGTACAAAATCAGGTGGACATTTAAGTTGTTAGCTGACATATTTAGACTGCAGGCTAAAAGGCCTGGCTGAAATTTATGATTATCAAATTTTGAATGCTCACAAAAGATCAAAATAACTCATTAAGAATGACAACACAATAGCAATTTAATAGCAAATGTCCACAAACACAACAAGACTTCTCGCACACTATTTGTTTGATGTATATTGGGTCAGTTTGGTAGCCTATTGGTTAAAGCGTTCGCTCGTCACGCCAAAGGCCTGGGTTCGATGCCCAACTTGGGTACAATGTGTGAAGCCCATATCTGGTGTCCCCTGCTGTGATATTGCTGGAATGTTGCAAAAAGGCGACGTAAAACTAAACTCATTCACTCACACTATGATGTACAGTCAAATCCCGATGAGTCGAATGCCAGCGTCTCGAATATTATGCATAACTCGAAGTACCTGTCGGTCCCGACCATTCCCTGTCATAGTTGTCATCATTTGATTTCCGGTCAGTCAATATGAGAAGTTAATTGGTGTAGCTAACTGATCCAATTAACAAACCACCGCGGCTCACACCTTTCTGCTATTGTCGGGTGAGTTCAAAAGGCAGATTAGTGATTTTACGGAAACGGAAGAATTAGCACATAACATTTGGTTAACTCAATCAAAGGAACACCTAACTGTCCTTGTCTGTGCTAATCAGACTGGAACTGATAAGGTGCCCCTATTAGTGATAGGGAAATCTGCTAAGCCACGTTGTTTTAAGAATGTCAAATCTCTGCCGACTTCATACTGTCACAACAAGTCTGCCTGGATGACGTCTGGTTTATTTGTGGATTGGGTAAAATCATTAGATAAACAAATGCTTAGGCGGAGGAATTAGGACTGGATCATGTGTTTTTCTATCCTCATAGACATACCTATGTCTCGAATACATCAATAAGTCGAATTTATTACTTGGTCCCCAGCGCTTCGACACATCGGGATTTGACTGTATATTGCACTATTTATATGTTGTATATTGCACTATTTATATGTTGTATATTGCATGTAAATGTTTTGTCCTCTTTTCAGAAAACATCCTTGCCTCCGCAGCAACAAACGGGTCGGTTGTCATCTGGGATTTGAACAGGCCTTCTCGTTTAAAACAAGGCAAGGCATATATGTTTTCTTCATTTAATGTCGGAAACATTTCCGTAAAGTAAATATTTGTCCCCATATGGATCCGCTGGCAGATCTCCTGTACCCCATGCTGGTATATGTAAACATGTCCTTAAGATTCATGCTGTCAATGACCCCATTATTTACAGGTTGCTGAGAGATGTCTGTTGTATATCTCACTGATGTAGACATTTGTATGTGTATGTCGGTAGTTGGTGATATATACAGGGATTTACATGGAGTCCTGTATTTGAGGGTCCCTGGGACTCATACTCTTAATTTTCAGGGGTCCTGGACAACAAAATGGGGGTCCCAGACACATAAATATTATTATTAATACTATGTTGTAATAGTGTTGTAATTCAGCTACTGTTATTGTATTGTGTATCATGATCACCACATTGTTACAGTAATTAAATTGCAAATAATACCATAACCCAGCTAGTAGCAAACTCAGTGATAACACATTGTCACTTGATTGGAATTTTTACAAATAGTATTTAGACTTTTTCTGAGTCCCTGTGGACGCTCTAATAAATTTGGTTGCGTCCATTGTCAATTCTTATGGGTATAGGACGCAGGTATTCGCATCCTGTAAATCCCTGTATATATCTGTTACTATTGCTGGTTGGCACTCACAATATGCAGATAGATGATCGGGGCTGAGTAATCGATTAATATTCGATTGTGACTGTAAATCCTATATTAAAACTCATAACAGGACACAATCATAACATTGTGCAGATGAAACAGGCATCGATCAATACTATGATCAAGACAATTGAGGCTACTTCCTGTTGAGACATGCACACATGTATGTTGTTTACGCTGCAGTTTTATGAGTCAGGAAACTTTATCAGTTGTTTATGTCTTGATTTAACAAACATATCAACAGGAAACATGCTTTAGTTGAATTTGATGTTTCTGATCAGTTGATCAGCCTCTGTGACCTTGTTTATGACTTTCCATTGTACATCCTCATGGTATCAACCACACACACTCACTCACTCACTCACTCACTGTTACAGAACATGTTTTTGCGGATCACAAGCGTTCCGTGAACAGGGTCAACTTTCACAGTGGAGAACACCAGCTTCTCATCAGCGGATCTCAAGACGGCAATGTCATCCTCTTCGTACGTAGTAATTGTTTCAAGTTTACACAAATGATCTATATTGTTTATTGCACCAGCAACACAGGTAGTCCCATTGTCTATGGTATAGCAATTCAATGTTATATCCCCTAGACAAGTGGTGCAGTGGGCTAGTCTAGTGGTTAAAGCGTTCGCTCATAATGCTGGAAAACACGGGTTCAATCCCCACATTAGTACAATGTGTTAAGCCCATTTTATGGTATTCCCCGAAGTGATATTGCTGGAATATTGCTAAAAGCTGTGTAAAAACATATTCATACTGACTTCAGCACATAAATACCCTCACTCTTCAATGCCTGCAGTATTTCACTGACATGTGTTGAGAAGTGTGATTTTGCCATAACTCTCATATTGAAGTTTAGTGGGGTGTGTGTGTGTGTGTCACTCATCACACTGGAGAACCTTGTTGCCCATTTCTGATGTCCCCCGCCGTGATATTACTGCAGTATTGCTAAGGGACTGTGTGTGTATGTGTGTGTGTGTGTGTGTGTGTGTGTGTGTGTGTGTGAGTAAGAGAGAGATATGATGATTTTAGTGGGGGGGTCACCAGTTTTTGTCCTGGGGAGGTAGGGGGTTAATCGAATTTGTACACATGTTGCTTGAGGGGGTCAGAAATTTTGTACACAAAAATATTTTAAAATTATGCTTTAAAAATATGGAAAAGGAACGGGGGGGTGTTCATTGATTTTGTGCATGACGTGCAGGGGGTCACTTTGTACATAAATTTTAGGGGGGGGTCATTCACATTGTACGTACTTCTCCTTAAAAATCATCATCACCCCCCTAGCCATAACGTATGACACAGTCCCTAAAATTCAACTCACCCACTCACTCTTCTTGATTTATGTTTTAAGACAGGAGTAAGCTATTGCTTTTGAAGTATTTTACAACTTCTGAGTAAATCTATCAATGTCATTATTCAATAATACTGAACAAGGGAACTCATTTCATGTCTCCCTACTGGCGTGCTCTTGCATTCAGTGTTTGTGATGGTTTCATCAACAGGACGTCAGGAAGAAATCTGTTAGTTCAAGGTTCGTGGCAAAAGGATCAGAGAGTGTACGAGATGTTCAGTTCTGTCCAAACAGCTACTTCACATTTGGCGCCACGTACGACAACGGCAACGTCCAGGTGAGGAGGGCTCTTGTGTTACCATGGTTACACTTTGCATGTAAATGTGCTAAGGTTGAAAATCATGACATATTATTTGTCTGAATAAACAAACTCCTGGCAAATTTATGATGATGATTTGGGGGTGTGGGTGGGGTGGGGGTGGGGGTACTCATTTTGTTCTGGGGAGGTAGGGCGTCAGCAATTTTGTACTTAAAAATATTATAAATTATGCTTAAAAATTATGGGAAGTGGGGTCATTGATTTTGTACATGACATGCAGGGGGTACTTACTTTGTACATAAAGTGTATAGGGGTCATTCACTTTGTACATGCTTCTCCATAAATATCATCCTCACTCCCACTAGCCACACATTATGAACGGTCACTAAGACAGGTAACTTTAGATCAACGGCAGACTATGAAATGGCTTTTGAATATTATTAGGTGAGTTTGCTAGACCAAACCAAATTACACTAGACTGGTTTCTGACCAGTGGCTAAAGCCTAAGATTGTAGATTGTGAGGGTTGAGCTTTGTATTTGACTTTCTGTCTGACCTACCCTCAGATCTGGGACATGCGTCGGCCTGACCGGTATGAGAGTGTGTTCACCGCCCACTCCGGACCAGTGTTTTCCCATGACTGGCATCCTGAAGACAAGAACTGGATGGCAACTGCCGGGCGAGACAAACTCATACGGGTGAATTTAGACGGAATTTTATCTTTATTCTAGCTGACGCAAGTAAATACCTAACTACGAGATAGATGAGTGAGTGAGTTTAGTTATTCGCTCCACTCAGCAACTTTTCCAGCTATACAGCGGTGGTCTGTAAATAATCGATTCTACACCAGACAATCCAGGAATCAACAGCATGAACATCGATCAATGCAATTGGGACACAATGACATGTGTCAACAGTGTATGAAATAAGGCCCGTCCGACCGCCAGAGACGGTCTAGATTTCTGACAGACGGTTTAAAATTACAGCTAGCAAGCCCGATGGTCTGGTAAAATGTTTACATGTTCCATACATCTGAGTAAATTCAACATATTTGGTCTGGTTAAATCCATTTGGGGCTGGTAACAATTTGAAGTTACCAGCCCATATTTCTGCCTGGATTTTTGGCTTATTTCACACACTGGTGTCAACCCAGTCAGCGAGCCTGACAACCCGATCCTGTTAGTCGCCTCTTACGACAAGCATGGGTTACTGAAGATCAATTCTCACCCAATTCTTCACGGGTACTACGATATAGACACGTATTTACAGATCATTGACTGGTTGGTGGGTGTTTGTGTGAAATATTAATGTTACAGCTGATCTAAAGCAGCCTTAAGAAACCATAAATGTACATTTACCTCACTGGGATGGATTGTCCAATCAAGCTTACGAGCAAGTTATCTGTTTTCTGTCCAACTATAATTCACCACTGACAGATACTGAGTTGTATCTGAAAACCTATGATCAGTGGTTTATCTGCATCATACTCGGTTTCACTGAAGTGCAGTGTTCACGAATGGTGTTTCAAAGTCACAGGACATTGGGTCCTGTAAGTTTCAGATGTCTGTCTGACCCTTTGAAAATGCACACGACCCATGGAATAAAATTAAACACACATTTCAGATTTAATATTTCTTATAATTGACATTGAAATTATTAACAAACATAAGATTTATAAACAGCAAACAAGTGTCACATGTCACATAAAACAACTTCAGTCAAACTCATTGTGAAATATACAGTCAGACACTGGGGCCGGCGGGTTGTAGACTTCTGTCTGACCGTTGGCGAATCTGCCGGATTTGTCAGAGGGTCAGACGCTATTCGTGAACACTGAAGTGGTCAACATCATAAAAGGCATCAAAATGAATCTTGTGGTCAGACCTGGTCACTTGATTATCAGTACCACAGCAGACGGATCATGGTTCTCAATATTCATCACTGAATCATCTGGTCCATCATACAGCTGGAATCTGTCTGTGTACAACATTAAAAAACAAACAAACTATGAAGTCTTTGAATGGTATTTAGAAGTAGAAAGAACATGAATGCATACACGTTTTTAAGGATAACAGCTTCTTTATTCTGGAGAGCAGAAGGTCGCTGGTTTGATCCCCGACCGCGTCATACCAAAAGACATTAAAATATGGTACTTGTTGGTCCCTGCCTGGCGCTCGGCATTAATGGGTACAACAAGGACTGGTTGGCTCGGAGTCAGTATAATGTGTCTGAGTGGGGTATTCATGCTTCACTGCGGCATGCCATTCCACTCCTTCCATCCATTCTCATTTAAGTCTACCTATTCCATTGGTGTGTCCATTGTGTATTCATGTCCATTCCATTTTCTATCTTTTCGTCCCTGTCCACTCCGTGTATTCCTTCTCCGTTGTTCAGTCCTTTTCCGTGGTTTCAGTTGTCTTGTGTGTGTGTATTCCTGTGTTGTCTATATGTCCATTTCTAAATTCCGGTCTCCATCTTTGGCCGTGCCTGGGGCTGTCTCCATCTTCTGGGTTTCTGTCTTCTGTGTTCCATTCTTCTTCTCTTCTTCCTGGAATCTCTGTTCTTCTGTGTCCTGGGTCTGTGTTCGTGTGTTTGTGTTCTCTGTGTGTGTGGTCATCTGTGTTCCGTGTGTATGTGTTTGTTCCTGGAGTGTCTATTTGTGTTTCTGGGCTGTCTGTGTTCGTGCTGTGTGTTTGGCTGTATCTGTTTGTGTGTAGATATCTGTGTCTGGGGTTCACTGGGCCATTGTCTATTTATTCTGTGTGTTCCTGGAATGTCCTCTGTTCGTGTTCCGTGTGTGTGTGTTCCACTGTGTGGCTTCACAATGGGGCAGCCATGTTCCACTGGGATCTGTGGTTCCTCTGGGTCTGTCCATGCACAAGGGATCTCACATGCCTGTGTGTTGGGGTGTAAGTTCCTGGTGCTGTGTCCGTGTTCCATTATTCATCCTTGGCTGTTCCATATTTTATGTATGCCATTTCCTTTGTCTTCACTGGGGCTCTTCCTCCTTCCTCAGTCCGTGTCCAGATGTGTGTTGTGTCTCTGCACATCCTTCCTTTCCGTTCCACTACTGTATCCACGTGTCCATTCTTTTCATCCATGTGATTCCCGGGTCTCTTCAGTCCATGTTTCAGTCCTATGTGTGTGTGTGTTCTACATGCGTCCAGTTCTTCCTGTGTGGTCTGGGATCCATGATCCATGTGCGTCTTTCTCTGTGGTCCGGGTCCTCCATGTGTCTCATGTCCATGTGTTCCACTTGCTGGATCATGCCTTTCCTGTGTGTCGTGTCCTGGGGTCCTAGTTCCATTTCCTTGGTCATTCTTCGGTCGGTCTTCCTCTGGATCCTTCTGTGTCATTCCAAGGATCCATACTGTTCGTTATCCTTCCTTCACCACTTGTGTTTCCAGGTCTCTGGTCGGGTCCTGGTCATTCCACTTTCGTCATGCTGTGCATGGGTCCGGTCCACATAGAAATGTGCTGGCCATTTCTAATGTCCCACCATGTTGGTTGGTCTGTGGTGTCTCGATTCGGTCCATGCTGTTCAAGTCTCTCCATTAGTTTTTTTCTTGGCCACAAGTGCCGTGTGGCAGGGTCGTCCTGGGGCTCTATGAATGGGGTCTCATGGGTCCATTGGGGCTCCACTGGTGTGGGGTCTCCTCCACTGTCTGTTTGTCCATCCATCCATCCACTCCGTTCCATCCATCCTTGTGTCCATTCCATTCCGTCGTTCCGTCCATTCCGTCCGTGTCCGTTTCCGTCCATTCGTCCACCGTTCGTACGTCGTCTGCCGCATTCCGTCCATTCCGTCCGTCGTCTTGATGATTGATCTGTCTATCTGTTTCGATCTCTGATCTCCATGTTTGTGACTGGTGGCCAATCTGTCTCCTATGTCCATTGACACTCCATCAACCAAGTCATTGAGCCAGAATATCCACTACGTAAACCCAGCTTCCCCGTGAAGATCCGGGTTAGAATTGATCTTTAGTAACCCATGCTTGTCGTAAGTGGCGACTAACGGGATTAGGTGGTCAGGCTCACTGACTTGGTCCTCACATGTTGTGTTGTATGCTGTGAAATATGAATATCAGCATTAAACAAACCAGAGGCTGCTAACACTTACTGATCTCATGATCGCAATACCATACCATTTTATGCCAAGGTTATACTAACAGCTCCCTACACATGGTCATCGCATCCCAGTTACGTAGATTGATGCTCATGATGTTGATCACTGGATTGTCTGGTCCAAACTCGATTATTTACAGACAGCCACCATACAGCTGGAATTTTCTGAGTGCGGCATAAAACTAAACTCACTCACTCAGTATATCATCAGCACTGAAAATAATGGACTTGTCATGTGACATGATTGCTCCGTTGTCTTCAGCAGGTGGCCCAGATATGGGGGTTGTTGAAGATGATGTTCGGGCCGACCACACAGACCCTCACGCACGTCTCGAAGCTGGTCCAGAGCTCTGGCGATAAACAGGATGCAGAAAAAGGTTTGTCTCGTAGAAGATGCAGATGAGAAATTATCTTCAGCAACTCATGCTTGTCTTAAGAGGCAACTAACAGCGAGCCTCACTAGTTTCAGTCATGTCATCATATCATAATCACTTTGTTGTCCAGATTTATGTTTGTTTGGTCGGATTTTCTTGGAAACTGCAAGGATGGCACTTTACAGGAATCAATAAGTGATAAGTTTCAGTTTAAAAACAATCATTAAAGGTTCTTATTGTACAGTTATATTGTGAGTTAATCCCGTGGTTAATCTTTTGACCATGGTCTTCAGTACTGGCATTTTCTCAGAAACCCTTATGAATGACATTTTAAATACATCATTAACTGATAAATATATCATCAAATTTAAAAACCATCATCAAGATATTATGCTGTACAGAGGAGAGACACTTTTTCCAAATTTTGTGGGTATTTGCTCAGACGGACATACTTCATTTCAAGGGCTTAAACTTGTAAAACCATTCAAGTTTTATCATGAAACTTTGTTTCTTTTTTTCATACACAAAATGCTAGATATGTTAAATCACATTTTGTATTTCCATCGTAACAGGTTCAGATGAGAGTGGGGTTTGTTTCATATCTTTCCAGTGTATATTTGGCTAATAAGGATTTCTGCTTTTCATTTGGTATTCATGCATGGTGCAAGGACTTTCCTTTGCTAAAGATGCAAGGATGTTTGGGATATTAATGAATCTTGTTGTTGTTTTCTCCTTTTAGGCTCACTGAAGCAGATGGGTGCAAGTAAACCCTTGGCCAAAAGCAGTAGTGAAATGATCGGAAATAAAGACTCTGACATCGAGAAGACAGCGACAGAGATGACGTCCGGTAACAGCGATGACTCCTCAGACTCGGAGAGTTCCGAACCACGTGAAATGACAGACATAGCCAGCGGTCTGGCCAGCAAACATACCGGGGATTTCTTCTTTGGGGATGGAGAACAGGATGTTCTGGGATTCAGCATCGACTACGTGTCACGCCTCGAGAAACCAGAGGTGTGTTTGTTTGTGTCTGTCTTTGTTTCTTCCTTCTGTTTCTTTCCTTCTGTCTCTGGTCTTTCCTTCTGTCTTCTTTCTGTCCGGGTGGTTGGGTAGCCTCATGGTTAAAGCATTTGCTTGCCCTGCCAAAGACCCGAGTTTGATTCCCCACATGGGTACAATGTGTGAAGCCCATTTCTGGTGGGCCTGGATCAGACAATATTTTGGCAGTCTGTTAATAATCAAGTGATTGATATCATGAGCATCAATTCACACGGTTGGGATGTGATGCATCAACCAAGTCAGTGACCATGAGTGAGTATGATGCAAGGTTTTATGCCACAATAGCAATATTCCAGCAATATTCCAGCAATATCCGGCAGGGGACACCGGAAATGGACTTCACACATTGTACCCATGTGGGGAATCAAACCCAGGTCTTCAGCATGATGAGCAAACACTTTAACCACTAGGCTACCTCACTTCCCCAAGTAACCATGACTAATCAGTACTGTTTGTCTCCCCTTTCAACAAGGATGGCTTGCTGAAGAAAACTTTACAGAGGTCATGGGTATCAACACATAAGACTGGTGTTGTCAGCTTCTGTATTGTTGTAACAATCTTACCATGGTTGCTAGGGATACTACATAATGGAGGATATGAGATGAGAGACTAACACTTCTCTCACCTGCCATGATGGTTGCTGGCCACAGAATACAGGACGGATAGCTTAACACAAACTTGGTTGGGATACAGCTGATAGTATTGATAGTGGTTCTGTACTTGTTTCTTTGAATAAGACAGGACCCATGAAAATCACGCTTAGAATTGGTGTTGTAAGAGGCACTAACAGGTTCAGGGTCACTGACTTTGTTAACACATGTTATCGCATCGCAAGTGTGTAGATTGATGCTCATGTTGTTGATCACTGGATTCTCTGGTCCAGACTCAATCGATTTACAGGGGGGTGTTAAACAACAAACAAAACAAAAATCCAATAAGACAGAAAAGTTACAGTCCGTTTGAGTCAAGAAGACAATTTTATTATTGTACAGTCACGTAAATATAAGTAGTATACATGTTTATCATTTACTAATGCAGAATTTTCCGGACTCCACCCAAAAGTTCTTTTAGAAACTATCATTAAAATTTTGACACAGTTTACTATTTGTTACGAGGGAGGAGTGCAGAGAAAGGACAGCCAGGTGTTAGAGAAGCACGTGCACAAGTCCCTTCTCTGCACTCCTCCCTTGTAACAAATAGTGAACTGTGTCAAAATTTTAATGATAGTTTCTTAAAGAACTTTTTGGTGGAGTCCGGAAAATTTTCAAATATAAGAAAGCTGTTGGGTATTAGTAAATGATAAACATGTGTACTATTTATATTTATGTGGCAATTTTGTACAATGATAAAATTTGCTATTCATCGGTCCGTTTCTGACTCAACGGACTGTAGGGGTACTTTGCTGTACCGAATTGTGTACTCACCCTATGCTGGTTTCTAACATTCAAGCCATGTTTTATCGTTTATGGTAGACATACCTTGATGTTACTGAAGTGCTACAACATATAAAACTTTTCTTACACTCCATTTGCAGAAGGACTGGACTCTTCCTAGTGAGGCATTCCAGCCACGTCATGAGATCTCAGACCGTACGACCCCTCCGGAACAGATGGAGAGCAGACATGACAGTTTGATCAGCTCAGGGAATGCCACAGATATTATCACACGTACCGTGCCTTCCGAGTCGGAGGAACAAGATTTCCTCCTGGCTGTGTCCAAAATTCCAAATATGTCATCACTGAACTCGAAGAACTGTGTAGCGCAGCTTCTCAGAGACTTTGCAGAACAGGTTGGTGGAATTGTTGTTTTTCAATATTAGGTCATGGGTCAGCTGTGACTATTGGGTCAAGGTCAACTGTCACTAACAGGTCAGGGGTCAACTGTCTTTATCTGATCAGGGGTCAGCTGTAACTATCGGCTAAAGGGTCACCTGTCACTATCAGTCAACTTTCATTATTGGTCAGTGATCAATTGTAACTGTCATGTCAGGGGTCACATGTCACTCTCAGGCCAGGGTGAATTCATTGTTGGGTCTAGGGCTGGGACGGGTACTCGGGTTCTCGAATCCGGGTCTGGTACAGCTGGATTCGAGGCCTATTTCTAGGAATTGAGTACCCGGAAGAGGAGAGAACTCTGTCACGGCAAGGGCAGATAATAACCAGTCATTTTCATTATTGCCGTAACACACATTTGCATCATTGGTATTGTCCGATTACTGGAGGTTATTATTAACGACTGTAATATATCTGAGCATGAGCAGTGAGGAGTCAAGTTGCAGTAACAGCGGTAACGAAAAGTCCTGTGTTTTAACGAGGAATGCAAGTAATGGTGTTACTCTCTATATTTGTTAAATAGGCGTAAATTAAATAGCCTAAGTTCAGTTTCAGAGTCTTATTGCCACCCTTTCAAGTTTTCTATAAAAGCTCTGTCAACTCGTGATTGAATATTCAGAAAGTTGACAGAAGCGCTTTATTCCTAACATTTCTGGGTACTCGATTCCGATTCAGGTACCGGGTAAGTACATGTGGGTACTCGATTCCATTTTTTCCTACCCGTTCCAGCCCTAGTTGAGTCAGGGGTCAACTATCCGGTCATGGTCAACTGTCACGATCCAGGTATTGTTAACAGCCAATAACAGGTCAGGTATCAACTGTAAATGCTGCTTGATACACTTGATGCCAATAAGTACTCAGGACAAAGTCATTCTGGAAAACTAAGGACAGTATGACTCGATCTTCAAACAATCTGGGGGCAATGGGGTAGTCTAAGGGTTAAAGCCTTCGCTCATCACGCCAAAGTGAGTGAGTGAGTGAGTTTCGTTTAACGCCGCTTTTATCAATGGGTGCAACATGTGAAGCCCATATCAGGTGTCCCCCGCCATGATATTGCTGGAATATTGCTGAAAGCGGCCTAAAACCGTACTCACTCACTCACTCAAGCAATCAGGACTTGAACAAGGCCACAGCAAGTTCCAATCAGACCGCCAGAGCGGTTTGTTTCCAAGTGCACTTGTTATATCTTAAGAACCATTGCCATCTGTAATCAATCTACCAAGGTCCAATTCCATAAGTACTGCTGTACTTATTATGAAGTTTGTTGAGTGTTAACTCCTTCCAAAAGAAGTGTATTGTCACTCTCAAACACCTTGTTGTATTCTAGCAGATATTCAATATGATCATTTCAATGCCGATCACTTGACAGGTCAATAGTGATAATGTGACAAGTCAATATTCAGCCAGTGATTTGACTAAACCTTTCAGTTAAGGTTTATCTACTGATGGGGTCAAAATATGTTTCTTCATATGATCTGGATGACTGGTGAAATTCAGAGAGTCTTAAAAGATATTTAACAGTCGTAGATTGAGCTGAAATAACTGGCATGCTTCATGGCTCCTTTTTTCATGCCTGTGTGGCTTACTGCATTCTCTTCCCACAGAGGTTACTTGTCATATCTTCCTACGAACCTCTGTTCTAATACGGGCATATTTCCCGGTTCTCGTAAAATCCCCTAGCAGCAAAAGATCGCAACACGAATTATCTCCCTTCTTTCTATCCAATCAGAACACGCGTTACATCGACCAAATATCCCCCATCTGCCGGGGACTTGTGTTGATGCTACACACAAGACATTTAAAGACCAGCTTGTCCGTTGTCAACGAGGGCGATGGAGACGCCACTGATCTGCCATAACATGACTGAGTTCTGTCTAGAAGAAACGTTTGCGCATCGCGCAGGGGAAGAAGTTTAGTTTTCTCGAAGCATACGGAAATTACCGAGGCCTTGCGAATAATCACTTTTGAAACAACGTCGCTGATTGCACAACTAAATCTGATTGCCTCCAATCACGAGTCTTGAACGCTCACACCATGAAAGGGCCGTATTAGAACAGAGGTTACGTAGGAAGATATGACAGGAGTAACCTCTGTGGGAAGAGAATGGGCTTACTGTAGAAATAATATTTGTTATCATAAATACACAAACTATCTTCAGGGTGATGTACAGACTCCAGTGTCCGTTCTTCTAGTCCTGGGAGACAGGGTGAGATCTGTCATAGAGGAACAAACTCAGGAAAACTGGTTCCATTGTTACATAGGTGAGTTCCTGATGTTATGTGGCTGACTTATCACTGTTGCATAGGTGAGTTCCCGTTGTTACATGGCTGAATTCTCTGTTACAAAGGAGAGTTTGGCTCCCAGAAGTTTGGGTTTAGATTGATCTTCAGTAACCCATGCTTGTGATGGAATCCTGTGGTCGGGCTCACTGGCATGGTTCGTACGTGTCATCATATCTCAGCTGTGGAAATCAATGCTCATCAATCACTGTATTGTCTGGTCCAGACTCAGTTATTTACAGACTACTGTCTTAAAGCAGGAAATTTAACAGCAGTAACAAACAAACAGTCATGGAACATTTTTCAGGCTGTGGTGCGCCAGACTAGACACAAACAAACAAGCATAAACATTGCCTTTAAGAAAAAGTGTAAATAATTGCACCTAGTTTAGTAAGAATATAAGAAGAGAGGCATACAATTGTATTTTTTAAACTTATCAAACTATTAACTACCTATAACCACTCTCCGACCCAGAGTTCCATGTGGCAAGCCAGCATAGTACCTCTGCCACAGGCCAGAAAAATGTGACGATTCGTCACATCTTGCAATTTCCATCTACACATCTAACTAAACATCTTTAATAGAATGGTTTAGTTTCACTGAGAAAATATCCAAAAACATGTAACACTATTTCGATTTGCGTAGCGATCCTTTGTTTACATAGGTTGTACGGCTCCACGTGCTGTCATCGAAGCCGACGGAGAGCAAACGATGCAGCCAGTTTGATATCTAAATATGTACTGTCATAGACCTAACTGTCGCAGTTGTGGAAGAATATATATGTAACAATGTAAAACTTTATGAAGAGAGGGCCGAAAAGCTTTCGTGAGTCCAGTCTCTTATTATTATGAATATGCGCGTTTGATTACAAACAAGAGAAAAGTCCGGTTACGTGATATGCAAATTAGCCTGTGGCAGTGATGTTATGTTGTCATTGCTGTGCCGGAGTGTGACCTATAACAGGATAAAAGATTACCAAACAAATTATAAAATGAATTGTTTGCTGATTGGAAGCAGAGATGACTCCTGTATGATACTGGATGAAAACTAAATGTGTCTTCCTGATCTGTTTGCAGAAATGCTTGGCAGATATAAACTGTGGTCGAAAGCAAATGAAATCATCAAACTAAGCCACGTCCCCCAAGTGAAGTATTTGAACCAAGAGTCCACAACTATCAACACCCTTTGTGCCAGATGTAACCGTGGTCTGCAGCAGAACCGATGGCTCTGTGAGAGATGTAGAGTGGCAGCCAACCTCTGTAGTATATGGTGAGTTATGTACCTGGGCCAGTTCCACAAAGTGATTGTAGCGCTAAACTGATCTTAACTCCCATACTTTGGCATATGACTGTCATAGCACTATGATCGCTTTGAGGAACAGGGCGGCATATACATTAGTTACACAAGATATTTCAATGTGACCCCCTGTCAAGTGTTTCTCCAAGCCTGGCTGGGGGAGGTATCAAATCTGAGTATAAATCAGATTTTAATCAAATTGAAACTAATGAAATGGTTTAGATGTAAAATCTTTCATCCCATAGCCACTATGATTGATTGCATGTCCTCAGTAAGTTCAATTTGGGGCCGTTAATCTGTAGTTGCTGTTTTTCAGATATGACAGTAAAAACCACTTGAATACTGGACCAGCTGTTAAGTTGATTCTAAACTTTGAGTTATCCCAATGCAATGCAGATTGTGAGTCTTTCATTAGGTTAACATCGTGACAGCTGGTTCTGTTTTTAATTCAGCGCTGCATGCATTGTTTGCAAGTTCCAAATTCTGTTTTGTCGTTGGTTTTAGTCATGTAAAACCTGGGACGGTGAGGGAGCCTAATGGTTAAAGCGCTCGCTTGTCACACTGAAGGCCCGGGTTCAATTCCCCACATGGGTTCAGTGTATGAAGCCCATTTTCTGGTGTTCCCCTCCATGATAATGCTGGGATATTGCTAAATCGACGTAAAACTAAACTCACTCACTCACTCACTCACGTATTCACTCACGTCATCTACAAGTCATAGGATGATTAAACTAAATTTCAACTTTCAGTATATTCTGAGCGGTTCCTTATTGACATTTTATGTTAATCGTTTACAATGACATTAAATTCATCATACATTTACTTCAGGTTTCGAACTTCCTATATACATCTTGTATGTTGCAGTCACCATCCAGTGAAAGGCCTGTTTGCCTGGTGCCAGGGCTGCTGCCACGGGGGGCACCTGCAGCACATGAAGGAGTGGCTGGAGACAAGCAAGTACTGCCCCACAGGCTGTGGCCACAGGTGTGAATACTCCTGACAGGAACAGCATGTACTGCCCCACAGGCTGTGGCCACAGGTGTGAATACTCCTGACAGGAACAGCATGTACTGCCCCACAGGCTGTGGCCACAGGTGTGAATACTCCTGACAGGAACAGCAAGTACTGCCCCACAGGCTGTGGCCACAGGTGTGAATACTCCTGACAGGAACAGCAAGTACTGCCCCACAGGCTGTGGCCACAGGTGTGAATACTCCTGACAGGAAGAGCAAGTACTGCCCCACAGGCTGTGGCCACAGGTGTGAATACTCCTGACAGGAACAGCAGGAAGAGCACTGTACTGCCCCACAGGCTGTGGCCACAGGTGTGAATACTCCTGACAGGAACAGCATGTACTGCCCCACAGGCTGTGGCCACAGGTGTGAATACTCCTGACAGGAGTGAATGCTTCAGACACCAAATTTCGTTACTTCCCTGTCAGGAGTATAACAAGATCTCCCGACAGCAGGAATAACATGTTTATTTGTGATAGAACACTCCGAGACAATCCTGACAGGAACCACGATAATTCTTTCCTTCCAGAAGTCTGGTGAAGATCGTGCTAGTTATCTGAATGACAAAACATCTTCAAGCATCCTCCCAACAGGATTCCCCATATCAACCCTGACCAGAGAGTAACGCGAGGATGTTTATGCCATTTGAATGCCTTCACCAGTTCCTTACACCAGTCTTGACAAAGCCACTTGGAGTGTTTCAGACATGGACATGTCATATGCTGATCTCAGTCTTACCTCACAGCAGAACTCCATCTATCATTTTAACTTCATCTGTGGAACCATAGACATATCATCCTAGGTGGCAGAGGTTAGCTTCGTAATCAGAGGACCTGGGTTAATATGTCCTCATTTGCATCTACCGTATTTCCTCTAATAAGCACCCAGGCACTTTTTTCAACGGACTTCCAGACCTGGGCCCTTATTCTCGAAACGTTCGTAGCCCTAAGAATTCTTAACTTTGATAGTAGCCAATGTGTTAAGAATGGGCTTAAGAAGTTCGTAGGGCTTACGAAGTTTCGAGAATAGCTAGCCTGGTGCTTATTGGAGGCCCGGCGCCTATTGAAGACCTGGCTCTCATTGCGATTACTGAGTGTACTGTATAGATTGAGTGTTACGTCGAAGTTAGGGACCATTCCTTAATAAATCTATCTTTGGATCAAGGGAGAATACATTCATGAAAAACATACCCAGCACTTATTATAGACCTGGCACTTATTTCTTAAACCCTTCTTTACCCCGGCGTTTACTAGAAGCCCGGCGCTTATTTTAGACCTGGTGCTTATTAGAGGAAATATGGTATGTTGATTTTGTCTTTAATTGAGAGAATCTCACTGTCTCGGTGTTCTAGCAGATCAAAACGTTGATGTCCAATAAAAACTGAATTCGACAAATTTTGAGATATCTCAGCCCCATGAAAGTAAATTGTAAAATGGTTACATGCTTGGAAAGTATTTGAGAGTAAAACTATCATTACAGCTGTTACCTAGTAACTAAACTGTATAATTCCAGAATAATTGATTAATTTTTTTGTCTTTTGTCAGAAGGAATATTTTACTTGAAATAATATTGTTTTCTGGTATCATACTTCAGAACTGACACCTAAATCTACAGAGAGTTTTCAATTGATCGTTTTGATTTAATTTTAAAGAATTTTATTCCTACAAGGAACAGGACAGATGCCATTTATCTGCTGAATTCTAATTAAATATTCACTGGTCTTAATTCTTGGGCGGTAAGGTAGCCTAGTGGTTAAAGCGTTCGCTCGTCATGCCAAAGACCCGGGTTCAATTCCCTACTTGGGTACAATGTGTGAAGCCCATTTCTTAGTGATATTGCTGGAATATTGATAAAAGCAGTGTCAAACTTAACTCACTCATTCTAGTAATTCTTGATTTCATATTTACCTGTATTTCATATAGAATACGCTTTTCTGAAGAAAATTCTATTCATATGTGACTGAAAACTTATAATTTATGAAAACAATTCTTCTTCTCATATAGCCATGACCACATTTATCAAGTATGTAACCAAACACGGCACCAGAAATATAACCATATATACAATGCCGTCCGGTAATTCCGAGCACCTAAGCACATCGATCGCAACATGGCAACTAACGTCTCTTATTTTTTGTGGTTTACGTGACTAAACATGCTGGTATGCATCATATTTACCTAGAAATATAAGTTTTATTGGCGACTATAAGATTCTAACGTTGCATTATGCCATACAGTTTACCTTACCGGCGTTCTGACGACATCGCTTGCTGTCCGGTAATTCTGTGCAGCAACTGATGCACATAACATCCAGCTGGAGATCCGAAGTATGGAAGCATATTCGGCCAGATTATTTTCAAAAATCACTTTATCAATGTAAGGAAGAGTGTTTCGTATTAAATCCAATTATGAATAATGATGAAAAAGGTTTGAAAGTCTGAAGAAAACGAACTTTCATAAAACTGTCAATTTATCTGTCAATTACTGTTATGTACTTAGGAGATCAACATCATGTGTTGGCCAATTTCCGTGTGTTATTGAGTTTTTGAGGCATGGGAATTCATTTGGAACCGACGGTGTCAGCTGGAGGTTTCAAATGAAATATTCCCGTGCTTCAAATACTCAATAACGCCCGGAAATTGGCCAACACATGATGTTTATCGACATTGTAAACACAAAAGTAAACCAGAAGGTCCACACACGTTTTTGTGTCTGCACTCATTGACATAGAGTATGGGTACAGCAGTGAAATGTCATCAGACAGTCATTTCGGCTGTCTCCCATTGTAGCATCTGGAACTGCTCATTTGTGACGTCATTTGGACTTTACGTCACATTATGATTTAAATGACGTCATCACAGCTGACGACGTAACAATACAATGGTGTGAGCGATGTTTGTATGTATTAATACGCAGCGAATTTCCGGGAATCTAATACCATTTGATCACGTTTTTCAACCAATCAGATTAAAGAACACAGTGGCTTTTGGTTTACAATTACCTTTAGTGATTAAAAGCCAGTCCTTTGTAGAAATGTCCCGATTTCAAGCGTAAATGTGGTAGCAGACGATGTTAACTTCAATACGGAAGTACGCTATTGCAGCTGCGCAGAATTACCGGACGTGCGGAATTACCGGAATTATACTTGTATATATATATTTCATCTCCTCTGTTAGATATTTTTAACAAGGTGATATCAGAGCTGTTGTTAAGGAATTTCAATGAGAGTGTTTTGTTTTGAAGCAATATGTTTGTGGTCACAAAAGCAAGTGTTTGTACTCTTTAATGAAGCAAGTCTCCACTGGGAAATAGCGTTGTTGTTCTTGGGCAAGTGTAATCTTTCTGTGATTTGCTCAAAGACTTTCAGTCATGGTTGTGAGACCATGTTCCTTGGCTACAATGCTAAAACAACAATTATCTCTGTGTATCAGACTAAGTGTGGCATTCATAGTTTATAATTAAAAGCTGTTCCTTCTTCATGGTATTTCGTTTCATAAATGATATATACTACTCAACAAAGGTTAAGGAACACTTTCATATAACTGTATTTAATCTGTTGGGTATTCTTTAATTTGTTTGAGTAGTATATACTACGATTGGTCGAAATAGAACATGTGACCAATTTCCATGGCGGCCACAACACACATTGCTGTTTTCGCTAATTCGGTGATGGGATTTGGCTCATTATTTAATTATGTTTTGGGAAATCCATTACAGCGACAGTTAAGTATGATTCTTTATGCTACTATCAGTCGTCATTTTTAGATTCCAGTAGATTTCTGTCTTCAAACTTGATGTGTTATGGTAACAACTCAGGGGCGAGCGTGGCTAGACTGAATGAATGACAGGTTTATTTGCGGTGTATAAATTTTCGCTAAAATGTTTTGCGCGAAATGTGCGAAAATAAAACCTGCACGAAATATAATACGTTTACAGTATTTCACATACTCTTGCTTCTTCATCTTATGGTTGAAAATGATTTTTACATATTTTTCAAATTTGAAATGGAAGTTGAAGTCAATACCTCAATCAGCCCAATCCTGTTAACCAAATTATTTCAGTCAAACCAGAGCTTGTCCTATGTTGTCATTCTGGACATATTTCCTCTTTACATCAAGAACAGAGCTGTTACCCTCTCAGTGTGATTATTTGTTTGTGGCCTAGTTCTCAAAGGTGCTTCAACCTGCTGTGCAGAGTTGTCTGTGTTAGCTATGCCAGGATCCGGTGATGTGGATTCGAATCCCAGATGTGTGCTGATTATGATGTTTGGTCTGCCTACACCACACACATGAGATCATGGTTTCCCCAAGAATGGTAAAGGTCTAAGACTTGCATCTTCTTCAGCTTTCTTTATTACTGTATATTATTGTAGATAAGCCGATATCTTACATTAGCCAACATCCTAACTTGACCCTTAAAATCAGTTTCTTACCCCCTGAAATAAAGTTTGACGAAAGTGTTACCCATAGATAAGCCGACCCCCTTCTACAGACTGCTAGTTTTGGTCCTCAAAATTCGGCCTATCTACAGTAATATATGGTAGTTGTTTTTTTAAAAACAGCATCTTTAACCAGTGATCCCAGTCATATGGCTGTGTTTGTTTGTTGTTGGTTTGTGTGATTTTTGTTTATTGTATAATGCCACACCAGCAATATTCCAGCTATATGACAGTGATTGTACATATTCCAGCTATATGACAGTGATTGTACATATTCCAGCTATATGACAGTGATTGTACATATTCCAGCTATATGACAGTGATTGTACATATTCCAGCTATATGACAGTGATTGTACATATTCGAGTCTGGATCAGACAATCCAGCTAATGACTCAGTGTGCGAAATAGTTTCAAAATTTTGATAGCCAGTCGGGTTGGCTATGCCTGAAAGTTACTAGCCCACAAAATAATTCACTAGCCCGAAATTTGAATGTAGATACAAAGCAAAAGATTACGAAAATAGATGAGAATAAGATGTTGTCGGCATGACACAGGTTTCATCATTAAGCTGCTAATATGATGAACATTTTATCTGGCCGTAATCTTGCATGATTTAAAAGTGTATTATTATTTAACCAGTTGGAAAGAGTGATATATTTACAAAATGACCCCATGAAAATTCACTAGCAGGTCAGGCAAGTGACTATAGAGGCTTACTGGCCCGACTGCATTATTACTAGCCACGTGCTAGTGGGCCAGTGGTTATTTTGCACACTGTAATGACATCATGAGGCAATCCAGGGACTGATGTGTGAGTGTTTACCTCTCACACTGGGATATGAGTTGTATCCAGTAAGTCTGTCACCTTCACATCGATGAAGTTAGTCTCCTCCTACTTCAGGCATGAGTTGCTGAGACAGATTCTAACACCGATCTTCAAGGGATAAGGGACATTGGTAGCAGTGTGTGAAATAGCCACTGGCCCGCTAGCCCGTGGCTAGTAAAAATCCAGTCGGGCCGGTAAATCTCCACAGTCACTGGCCCGATTTTCATGGGGTCATTTTGTAAATATGTCATTCTCTCCAACTTGTTAAGCTATAATACACTTGTAAATCATGCAAGATTATGGCCAGATAAAAATGTTCATCATATTAGCAGCTTAATGATGACTTATTCAAGTTATTTGAGCATGAGCAAATCATTTCAGATATTCTGACATGTGTTTTTATCCCCCGGCTCGCGTTTTTGAAGATTTCAGCATCTTAAACTGCATGTTAAGATTGTCAGCAAGATATCTCAAGAACAGTTAACTGGATTTTCTTCATAGACTTTCCAGACTTCACTTGAATGTTTTTCAATAAGCAATTTCTTTGTTACTAGTTTTGCATATGTCATACACTAAGACATTCATGTCAAGGTCAAAGTGAGTCGTGAAAATATTTGTGTGTTTGAACAACTACAGAGCAAGATATC